CATCAGAAAATCAGAAAATAATAGTTCAGATACATTACAGAGCTAGAAAAAAAATCAAAGAAACCAAGGATTCATACTTTTGAAATTGCACACTCAAAGTACTCAATAACCTCCTCATTTTCATGCTTCATCAATAGAATTCGTCCCAGCCTCAAACCCAGCCTCAAACCCCATTTCCCAGTTTCTGAAAATCGTCAACGGCAAGCGGCTCCCGACGGCAAGTGGTAAGCGAGAAGCGGCTCCCGACGGCAAGTGGTAAGCGAGAAGCGGCTCCCGACGGCAAGCGGCAAGCGGGTGCTAGGCCAGCGACTCCACCACTGGCACGGGCCGCACCAAGCGGTCCACGAACAGCACCATCTGAGAAACAAAAAGAAAAGGGAGAGAAAGGGGATCTGGATCTGGATCTGGATCTGGAAGCCGCACTCGAAGTCGTCGCACACGATGAGGTGGTGGTGGCTCCCAATGGCGGCGAGGCGAAAGGTGGCGTGGAGAAGGAAGAAGAAAGCTATCGATGCGTGGTCGCGGCCTCCATGGAGTTTGGACGAGAACGAAGGCGTTGTGGTTGCGGCTTGCGGGTTTGCGCGTGGTGGCCGGCGGCGTGGTTGAACGGTAGTGCTTGCGGCAACCGTAATGGCTGGTGATGGTGGCGGTCTGATGATGGGGTTTGGTGGAGAGAAGAAATCGTGACGGAGGGAGGGAGGCAAAGATGAGAGCGAGAGCGCGAGAGATGAGAGCGCGAGAGATGAGAGCGAGAGTGCGAGAGTGCGGGAGTCTGAGAGAGAGGGTTTTTGATTTTAACCTAAGGTATACTGCCTCGGTTATATTTAAAACCGGTGCCTAAACCCTTTAAGTGCATCAGTTACACAGCGAACTGGTGCCTAAACCATTTAAAATTTATATTATATGTCTCGGTTGGCCTTCTACTCGAGATAGTAACATCTATAGACATCGTTTCAAATATAACCGAGGCATATAACTGCTCAATATTTACCGAAATGCCACCGCACTTTTATACGCTTCGGTTTCAGTAGAATCGAGACATATATAGCGCGTTAAAAAAGCCTCTTTTTACTAGTGCATGTTTTTATTTGTGGAACAACTTTTGTTTTAATTAATTTTAATATAAGTTATATACTAAACTGAAAACCTTGTGAATAATTTATCTGAAATACTTTCAAACACTTGCAATAAACCTTAAAAAAAGTTTATATATTTTCAAATATCATTATCAAAACAATTTTATTTAAAACTTAATGTATACTTTCAACAACAAGAAGAAGATAAACTCCTTTTTTTCCTAATCATGTTTATAAATAAAACTATTAAATCATAAATGGAACTATACCAAGACAGCATAAATGGTCCGTGAGAGGGTGGGTTAAATTCGGGCATTTAGATTATTATACTTTGAAATAAAAAGAGTTGTAATATTTTGTAATTTTGATATAATAACATTTGTGTTATAATTATAGTCTATAGACATTAATATTACTACTTCACAACAACTAGGTAGAACGTGTTGACAAAAAGTCATATTAAGTGTACTAATTCATTTTCTAATTCATTTTCGATGAAATTTTAATATAAGTAAAAAATTTAAAAAGTAAACTTCTATATGAAATTAACAATCATGTTTAAAAAAAACATTCACATGCACTCAATCTTTCTAAGTATATGTTATGAATTAAAAAAAAAGTGTAGTATATGGCTTTAAATAAGTTTCTTTCATTTCATTTCCGCTAAATAATTCTTCGCCCACTCCAAGCATGAAAGCAACATTAAATTGACAAATTAATTGTACAATTAAAACAGAAGAAACAACCGACAATGATGTAGAAGCTCCACCATAGCATAATTGACAAAGTTTTTGCATTGGAAGTGAACATATCAAGATAGTCTCCAGGTTCAAACTCAATTAAATTTTCCTACCCTTCTTTTCAATCTCTTTTATTTTTTAGGTTATTAAAATAAAATGTAATCAAATGTTATAGATGTTATATATATAAAATATTTTATATATTTATATATGATATATACAATAAGTTATTATTTTTGCTTTTTTGTTTAGATTATTATTATCATATTGTTATTATGTTTTGTTACTATATATAGTTATTACTTTTATTTAAATAATATATATTCTTATAATGAATTTTTTTCTTTGGTATCATAAGTAATTTCTTCGCATTTATTTCAATGTCTTCCTTTTCATGATGAAAATTTTAACGGTTGATTTTAGAGATATGATTAATTCTACTTTATATGCTAATCATTTATAGAATGACTTGGGTATATATATATTAATTTCCTTAATTTCATTAGTTTAAAGATAAATAAATCATTGATTCTAGTGTCTGAACTCACTACCATTAATTTAGGCTAAAAACTTTTCTTCATTAAATCTATCAATGTTATGTAGGCATGGAGAAATAAATCCAATGGAAGGAACAAAAGCACAAAGACGTTGAAGGGAGTAAAATGGTGAAAAAAATATATCGAGATGTTTAAGATTTTGGAAGAGGATAAAAAAAAGTACTATTAAGACATCTAGAGAAACATAATTGAGGCAAAAAAATGTTAAAAGAAATATAATTGAGGCAAGGATTAAAGTTGATTCAAAAGGGAGTTACTTATTACAAAATGTGGAAATAATGGTACACCTGGCACAAAGTGGGTATTGTAAGGTAGATACTTCATTTTATCTAATTTTTCTTTTCTTTTATATGTTGTGAACTAAAATTCTGAAGAAACAAATTGACATGCCTAGTGGAAAATATTTCTATTTGATTTTCATTCACAAAGGGTTAATTATGAGAAAAGTGTTAAACAATATATGAAATTAAGGAGTGAAAAATATTCATGTCTCAAAATATACAAAGCATAACAACTTCAACAAACAATGGGTTTATGCCCCTCCTTTCACTAATGTTAGTCAAGTTGGAGAAACCATAAGAGTTATTAGTAGTCAAATGCTTGATCAAAATGTTTCTTTAATGCAAATCATGAGTAACCCTATTACTACATTGGTCCAAGAGCAAAGCATGTGTTGCATGGTGGGGTAATTTTAATGGTATAGGATCATCGAGAATTTCAAAATGAGAAATTTTCATGGGAAATGACCACCTCACCAAGTTTTAATCAAATAAACAATAAAGATCGGTTTATAGGAAGAAATAGTGTAGAGCTTGAAACTATAGAAACAAGACTATTGAACACATCTTTAGATGTTATAAGACAACAAATTGATCCTAGTATATTACGAAATTGTGAATGCGTTATCAAGTTAAATGGCTTGAACATGGGATGCTTTGTTGATCTCTCAAGTGGAAAATGTTGAGATTCCTCAAGTGAACAATAATAATGCTAACTATGGAGTATAAAACAACATAGGCAATTTTAATTTAAATCCAAAGGTAATGAGAAATGTCCAAATTCTTATAAGAGTAAAAATGTTGACCATTTCTTACATATGAGACAAAACATAAGAAGGAATGTGGATTATATGAGAGATGGTTTTTTATATAATCATAGTCCAAATAATGTCCAAATTAATTATGAGATTTAGATGCCTAATCAAGGCATGGAGATTGGACTCTCTAATCAAACCTTACTTTGTATCTCCATTTCTACGTTTTGCATTTGAAACTAAACTTCCTAGAGGTTACAAAATACCCAAGTTCTCTACATTTGTTATAGAGATAGAAGAATTGCAAGGTATCAAATTGAGTGTGGTGATTTATCCTTAAGTGAGAAATTTGAAAATGAAATAATTTTCTAATTCTTTAACAAAAATTGCTTTCACTTTATTTACAACATTACTTCCTAATTCAATACATAATTGGGTTCAATTAGAGAGGAGTTTTCATGAATAGTTCTTTAAAAGAGAAACCCAAGTGAGTTTAGTGGATTTCATGAATGTAAAAATACTTAATAATGAAAGTATAGATGATTATTTGAATAAATTTTGAAAAATGAAATCTCAATCTTTCACTCATTAGTACAAAAAAAGGCATTGACGTCTTGCATTCAACGTTATAATACGAAAAAAGTCAAATATAAAAACATGCCTGGTGGAGTTTTTTGTAAATAAATGTTGAATTATAACGTCAGAATTTATATTTTTCGACGTCTTATGGTCATTAGACGTCAAAAATTGAGAATTACAACGTCATATTGAGAAAATGTAATGAAAATGTTAGGCATGAAGGTGAAAATGTATCACGTATAATGTTGAATGTCCTAGTTTCAGACGTTAAAGACCTATAAGACATTGGAATACCACTTTTTCAAACGTTATATGTTAGTGAATTCATTAAAACTTTGGGTGGGAGGGTGAAAATTTATTCACTTTATCTTTACGTGAAACATTTTTCTCTACTCAAACTTAAACCCTTCTTGGACGAAGCTTTTCGCGACCAACACATTTAATCTTTTTTTCATTTCAAACAAATGTATGTTTAATAAGTACTTTAAGTATGATTTTCTTTCATTTTGACCTATTGGTTTCATATACAGGTACTCTTTGAAGCATAAGCGCGTTCTCTTTTATCCCTCCGCGCTAGCAACACTTTATTTTGGGGACGAAGAAGATCAATTTTATTTTAGGTTTTTGATGAACTTCTTTTTATGGGCTATAAATTAGTTAAAGTTGTTGATATTCTTGAACTTGCTTATTATTTTTACATCGTATATATCCAAACTTAAGGTAAAATTAAGTGTATATTCAAACCAACTTCAAATCACTTGAAAATTTGTTCAAAGCACCAAATAAACATCAATATTGTATATTCAAACTAACTCTAAATTACCTGAAAATTCGTTCAAAGCACCAAAGAAACATCAACATCATAAAACACGGTAAATATTAAAATTATCTCATAAAAAATACAATGAACAAATAAAACAAATAAATGTATCACATAAAATTTAAATTCTTTAAATAAATATTTCACTCATTTATTTAATTTAAGTATCCAACTAACTTCTTAAATATTCTTATAATTGATGGTTCCTTGTTTTCTCTTAAAATCAAAATGAAACTTCTCTCACTCTAGCATCTCTTACTCTCCCTAAATCCCATCTAATCCAAATGCCTACCACACTTCACCACAGTTTAAAGCTCCTCGCCAGCCACTGCACCACCACCACCGCCACCTACAGCCCCACTGCCAGCCCCGTCCACGGCCGCCGCCGCCGCAAGACTCTCCGCATGCTCCTCCTCCACGACCCGCCAGAATCCGCCGACAGCCACGTCAGGGTCCGCTCCAGGCTAAAGGATTTTCTCCTCTCCTCGCCGTCCCCGCCGCCGCCGATCACAAAACGCCAAGAGCTAGGCAGCTTGCTCCCGTCTGTCTCCGCCGGCATCGGTTTCCGATCCCGGACTGGCTGTAGACTCCTCCGCGGTAGCGCCGCTGCGGTGCCGGTATCTTTCCGGCGCCGATTGTTGAGAAGAGCGTGGCGGCCGGTGCTGCTGTCTATCCCTGAGTAGTCGCTCACTGTTACTGTCGTGAAATTATTATTTCTTTTATTATTAGCTACTATATTGTGTAATGTTTTTGCTCATTAATAATTATTGATTATTGCTGTTACTGTTTGCAGGATTAAGTTAATATTAATTTATTTTCACAATTTATTTTTTTATCTGTTGCGTGTATGTTTAATTATTTTAATTAATGTTGCCGTCACTACGCTGGAATGCTGGATGTCGTTGTTCGGGTGTGAAATTGACTGAACGGCTGTGTGAGGTCGTCGAATTTAGAAATATAAAATTAATTTTCTATGATACCGAAGTATTTATTTTATGTAGTGATAGATTATTATTAGTTTCTTTATGTTAAATTTTATATTAAGTGTTTTTCAATAAAAAAATAGGTAGATTTTTTTTTTACTTTCTACACGTTTATTAATTGTGTATTAAGTAGGTTATTTTTGTTTATTTTAATAAACAACTGGTTATTCTAATAAAATTATCTTATTTGTTTCTTAAATATGTGCACATTTTATAAACTGATCATATAAAACCTATTTAAGTACCAGTTTTATTTAATGCATTGAATGTATCCCTTAGAGGCACGGATTGCTTAGAGCTAGAAAAGATAAATAAATTTGTTTAGATATTCTTCTAATTCGTCTTCGTTTTTGAGAAAATATTTTGTATTAAATGGATATAGATAATATTTGAATTTTTTTAATTGGATATAATAATGATTATGGATATGTACATTCAGCCGTGGACATTTATTTTTATATTTATATAAATTAATATATAATTTCAATTATTTTTTAAAAGTTCTAATATATTTTATATATTTAACATCTTCAACAAAAGATTTTACATATACATAAAGATTTTGCCACTCCTAAAACATTAGTTGAAGATCTCCCATATACATATTTATTCTGTCATGTTATAATTTTGGGATTATGTATATATCATTTAAATAAGTTAAGGTTATTATCTCATTAGTTAAAATTATAAAGTGATATGTTAATATTAAATTTTTAACTAAGGACATAATTGTCATAAAAGATTGTTGTGTAGATATCCTAAGATAATATTCTCAATTGATAAGGGAACGAACTATAATTAATATGGAATGTGATTGAAAACAGTTATAAAATAGATTATGGTCTCTATTGATAAAGCATGTAACATCATGTAACATTACATTGTGTATTACAACTTTTATTTTCTCTTCATCCCCGTCATGAGAGATATCAAAAGTAATGTTGAATACTTTCTATTTTGGAATATAATATATTCATATAGTTTCCAATGGCAAACAGGTACACTTCCACATTCTTTTACTTTTTGAATTAGATTATGACTTCATTTAAAATTAATATATGATTGTGTTATGCATTTTACATCTCGATGGGTAAAAACACATGGTTAATGTGTTAAAATTAATACATGATTGTGTTAGACAATATGGACTTCAAAGAAGCATGGTTGTACATGTTCTTATTTTGAGAAGATTGTGTATTACTATTTGGATGGTTTGCGTAACTTCTCGTATAAGACCTTAGGTTTTCATTTGACTTTGTTGAGATAAGATCGTTTAGAGAGATTAGCTCATCTAACATCTCTAGTTTTCAAGTTTAACAATTAAAATCTTAAAGAAAAGAGTGTCTGAAGAAATTGAACATAGACATAAGTTTGAGAAAACAGAGTTAGAAATTAAATTGTTGAAGAACCTTGTAGGAAACAAGTGTTTGAAAAAAGTAAACACATATACAATCTTGAGAAAGCATAGATATATCCTTGAGTGATTACAAGAGAAAGTGTCTAAACATTAGGCAATAAACAATATATTAGAATCATCGACAACATGTATTAAATAGAATCAACTAAAGGACTGTTTGACCAAGAAATAGAAACCAAAAAAATTAGGCTCAAATCATTTAGAAGCGTCTAGCATAGACACTGAAAGCTTAAGAAGACTTAAGCTCAAAAGCATCTAAGCGCTAATCTGAATAGTCTTATCATAAGAGATATAACAAACAACGTTTTCCCATACTACAAGGATTATCAAGTGAAAATGTCTGATCAATGATAAGAGTTCACAAGAACACCTTGTAAAATAATAAGTTTAAAAGATCAAGAAGATAAGTGTTTTACAAAGATATTGGCTTAGAGAAAGAAATGAGTTAAAACGATATGGCACACTCCTAAGTAGAAGCATTGATCAGTAGGAAAATCGTACATAAAATTGTGAGACATAATGCTTAAAATATAAACACAGTCACAAAATGATGAGTGAAAAAGTATCTAAGAAAATCTTGTAAAACAACAAGCGTGAGAAGCTATCAAGCATAAATATGTTTTACAAAGTTAGATTTCAACAAGCATCGTCTAAGGAAGACATGCAAAAATATTAGGATAATTTCTCATATGTTGAAACTAACATATCTATTAGTATTGTTAAAATAGGTTGGGACCCGTGAGACAACCCGGCCCACCACGGGTTTGAGTTATGTTGGGTTGAAAAAAAATTGAAATATTGATACAAACCAATTTTGAGCCTGACCCACTAAGAACCTGGCTTACCTAGGTTGAACCCGTGATAAGCCGAGTTAGCTCGCCAACCCACCTAATTTTTTGCGTGCTTACTTTTAGATTATATTTGGAGTTTAAGATGATTTTGGATTGTATTTAAATTGTATTATGTTTTTTATTTTTAATTGTTTTTATATTTAACATCATTTTGGATTAAATTTTATTTAGATTTGAATTAGAAAAAAAAATTGTTATTTTGTTTGGATTTGAAAAAAAAAACTTGTAATTAAGTGAGCTAGTGAACTAACCTGTTTAACCCACCAACCCGTGGTGAGTCGAGTCAGGTTCGAATTTTTTAGCTCGCTAATAAGTGAGCCAAGTTGGGTTGGCTCACTAAGTGGCCAACGCATGGTGGGCCTAGTCGGATTGGGCCGGATGACCCGTTTTGACAACACTAATTCAACCTTATAAGCCTACCATGACCCAATCTAACCCAGCCTAAACAATAAAACACTGAAAGCCTAAACATTGTATATTCAACCAGTGTTAATGAAGAGAAAATGAGCTAGAACAAAGATATATCGTCTAATGAATATAAGCTCTAAATTATAATGCGTGGTCTTAAACATGTTATCAACAGAAACGTCTTATAGAAGAAACAGTCTAATGAAAAGCATGTTAAACAAACAAATCTTAAGAGTGCTTCTAAAATTTAAGACCAATATTATGGATCATAAATTAATTTTACTACTGACTCAACATATTTTTGCAAAGTTTCCTTTTGTAGTGTAAAACTTGAATGTGGGAAAATTTATATGATAAACATTCAACATCATTCGTAGGAAAGTTGAACATGGGAAAGCTTATATGAAAGATTTTTAGAAGGTTTCCTTTTGTAGTGAAATACTAATCTTAAAGTATTTTTTTTAAAGACTTTTAAGTGGAATTTCACAAAAGAGATTTTTAACACTTTTAGATAGTTGTAACCTAGAACAAACATTAATCAATGTGGAATGTTGATAAATCTAATGACGAGGGTGAAATATTGGAGGATGAAAGTGAATTTGAAAATTTCTCAATCATGGGAGTTAGGAAAGTAGAATTAATGAATTGAAGAGAGTTTAAAATTTAGAAAACTCATTAGTTTAAATTAGGATTTAGGGAATAAGAAGTGGTTCCAGTAACACTTCCTCCTTGAGAAAGTTTTTCTTTTCCACTCTTTCTCTTCTCTTAATATCTTTCACTTCTATCTTGTCTCTTTTCTCCCATTCTCTTTGTTGATAGGGTGAGCAATATGAGTGCTAAACTCAATCCCTGATGTGCTTGGCTTTTGAAGATGACAACACATTGATTGTAACAACACATATATGTTTTCATGACACAACAAAAATGTGTATTTGTGATTGATTCATATGAAGACATGTTGATTGGTCTGCATATTGTTGTGATCTTAATTGTGTTTATATCTTCTATATGCATACTAGATATTTTAATGTGATAAAAGCACAAGCACAAAACAACTCTGTATGAAATAATCGATTACAGTGATGTTGTAATCAATTAAGTTCATCAAACAACTTATGTTTTAAACTGTGGCAAAACAACAAGTTTTAACCGATACATTAAGTGAATAATCGATTAAAACTCGTGTCTTTGCAAACAACTTTTTGAAATATGATGTGATGAATTTTGAAGTGAAAATGTTTTCAAAATTTGTTTAAGTGTATAGCTTAATCGGCTACACTGTTTATGTAATCAATTAAGTTTGTTATTATTTGAAAACATTTTTCAAGCTAAGTCATAACAGTGATAACAGGCATATTTTTCAAATAGTTTGATTAGAATTTATTAGCAATCAATTACATTAAATGTGCACTAAATTAAAACTATTTTAATTGTAATTTTGTTACAACTGTAAATAATGTAACCGATTACATTACTTATGTAATCGATTGAGTTGCGTTTAAATTGACGCAATGCACACTGCTCTCAAGACTTTTGATCATTCTAAACTTTCATATATGATATTTGTGAATTGAGAAAAGAATTACAAGTGTGCTAAGACGCTCCAAGAAATAAGATATAAAGAAGTTGATAATCTTGAAGGTTTCTTGAATAACAAATTTAACTTTTAGTGTTGATCAATTGCACTACTGAGGTGTACTCTTGACTGATCAGATTTCGTTTTTAGCAATTTTGGATTGTGTTGTTTCTTGTGCGTGTGGCCAGGAAGAAGAGTGAGTAGTTCTTTGTACTTTGAGAGGTGTCTCAAAGGGGTGACTGCAGAAGATGATTGTTTTTTATGTAGGGTCTTGTTATTGGCTATATTAGATTAGTGAGTTAGAGAGGTAGTTTACATTTTGACAGATTGATCGCAATAAAAACCTTAGTGTAAAAACTCAGATCTTTATAATGCAATTGGCTTTCAATCTCAGGTTGATTGAAAGAACACTAGATGTAGGAATTGAGGCCGAAGCAGTATAAACCCTGTGTTTGTATTTCTTTCCTTATCTCTTTTGCTTTCATTACATGCGCTTTATTGCTTGGATTTCAAGAAAGATTAAAGATCATTCTTAAAGCAATTGTTTT